ACGTGGTGAAAGGAGGAATCCACAGTTTTTTGTTGAAAGACATGTTCATCACACTGTTGGAGTTATGGTTTGGGGTGCTATAGCTTATGGTTCCAGGTCACCTTTAATCTTCATCAGAGGTAACATCAACGCGCAGCGTTATATCCACGAAGTTCTAGAACCCCATCTTTTACCCTATCTTGACACCCTGACAGATCGAACTTTCCAACAAGATAATGCCCGACCACATGTTGCAAGAGTCACAATAGGCTTCTTTCAACATAATGATGTCACATTGTTACCATGGCCACCAAGATCTCCCGACTTATCCCCAATTGAGCACGTGTGGGATATGATGGGTAGGAGATTGCTCAATTTGCAACGTCCTCCTCAGACTCTAGAAGCACTTCGAGAGGAGTTGGTGGTTGCCTGGAGTGAGATACCACAGGAGGACATTGACCACCTGATCAGAAGCATGCCTAGGCGCGTTGGAGAATGCGTAGCACATCAGGGTGCATCCACACATTATTTAAAGGTCAAAGGGCTTTAAGGCAGTGCAGTCATTTTGAAATTTTTATCATTTACTTATTATGCTTCATTAAGTACTTATACAAAATTTTATTAAAATAAAACCATTTAAACTGGGTGTTCGGATTTATATGTCACTTAGTATATAAGGTCTTGATTTGGAGGAAAAGGTAGAAGTATAAACATATGCATGTTTTCTTATTCATAATGATTACCTTATACTCGCGAGGATATCGTCCAAGAAGAAGTAAAAGGTTGACTGGTATTTGTATATTGAGAGCGACATGTCCTTACTTGTTCCAGCTTGTAGTTGACGTGGGAGTTTGTTCACTCAGCATCACTGACAGTTGTACTCCAGAACTTACACAGACCGTTCCGTATTTTTACTGGATACAGTTTTTTATCAAACTAATAAGCATGTCATCTTCAAGTGATGAGGGAACTATAGAAAATAATAGCAACGACCTGCAGTTCATCGCAGACGAAATTGCTATTGCTCCCATCATTTTGCAAAAGTCACAAGTTCCAAAAATAAAAATGAGAAAGGACGATGCCTTGAAGAAGATTTTGAGAAAATACGAATCAATATTCGGTAAACCATTAGATACTTACTAAAAAAACTTACTTACTTATTAAAAAAAATCAACAACATGAAATCAATATTGAAGAAAAAAACAGATCTAAAAAAACTGGTAATAAAGCAATTAAATTGTTAGATTGAGAAAGAAAGTTGCTGAAAGCTATGGAAGGTGACTTTAATCCTACAATTGGGAAAATTAGAGGTGCCATTCAGGTTGGTAGTGTTCAAGAAGAAGGAAGTGAACTATATACCGAGCGCAGTGAACAAACTGTTAGTATTACAGCGCCAGCAATTCAGAAGACATTGCCACCAAGAAGAAAATTAGCAGCAAATACGAAACTGAGGAAACCAAATGATTAACCACACAAGAACTGCAAGGTCTAGCGATATTACAGCAGTACCAAACAAGTATTTTACAACTAAAGTATTATAAAACGAAGTTAGAAATGATGCAGCGTCTATTATAACTTATAAATACACTTTAATCAGTACCTAAATCTATTTATCATAATACTCAAGTTTCTTCTTATTTGTTGACCTAGTTGGCGGAGAGGAAGTTCGTCATTCTCATGATTTCCTTCATCTTCATCTGGGTCTTGTTCAACTAACTCAAAGTCAGGATCTCCCAAGGTCTTCGCAACATTATTTGGTACAATACAAGCAATCATTATGTTCGGCACATTTTCCAACTTTACGCGGCAAACATACTGTAGGGTAGAAAACCGGCATTTCAGTTGGCCGTAACACCGTTCAATTAAAAATCTTTCTTGCTTTAAAAGCTTATTATGATTTATTTCTGCACCTGGAGTAGGATTTCTGAAGGGAGTCATTAGGCATGGCTCAATACCATAGCCGTCATCGCCAAGTAGTACAGCATTTGCTTTATTTATTAGTTGTGACCTAGACTGTGAATTTCTCTATATTCTGGAATCATGCACTGATCCTGGCCAACTGACATCACCACTTGTGAACATCTCTCTAGCATCACAAGTGGCTTGCACATTTAAAGTAGGTTTCCATTTTCGGTTGATATACTCATCTCCATGGCGATTTGGTTTCAGGATTCCTATATGTGCACAATCAATTACACCAATTGCTGTCGGAAGTTTATACATGTTTTGCCATATCCGCTTGGCCTCCATCAGTTCATGGTCGGTAGTTGGAAACTTGATCCATTCGATCGACTGTGCAACTTGCTGTTCACAACTCTATCCACAGTCCGAGATACCGTTGCTTGACTAACACCAAGTTCCTGACCAATACCTTGTTGATATCGAGGGTCACCGAGACAGCGTAGACATATCTTCATTTTATGAATACATGAAAGTACTCCTCCTCGAGTTTCCTCATTCGGAACAAAAAATCTGTCTGCAAGCCATTGTACATTTGCTTCGTCGAACCGGTATAACTTTTTGAAGTCACGACCAAGTGAAGGTAAACGAAGTTTGTACGTTTTAACATCCACAATTTCCTCCATCATCGTTTGACCACCTTTCGTTACGAAGTTGAGTCTGCTACTGACCACACTCAGAATTTTTGAAGGATACGCTTCCTATGTCAAGTATAAGATGAAGATTATGAATATCCTTTTACTTATGTCACTGCTTTGAAGGATATGCTTATACTCAAAAAGTAAAAGCATTTACTTCAAATTATTATATGTAAATACCATCTGGAGGATTTCCTTCAAAATTTGCAAGTACAAGGATACCCTTTGTTTTATGAATACGGCTCATTGTATCAGCGTATACTTCCACGATATCAAATAGGTATGTTTAAAAATTTTTAGCAAAATTCAATAAACAGTACTGGGTGTTGCATTTTATATGTCACTTAGTATACTTCGACTACCTACTTAAGTTTGTCCTTGCAATATATGTACATCTTGGGAGCTACCATCCTTACTGGCTGATGTCTACGTTGACTTTGATGACATAGATATAAGCCGCCAGTGAACTTTGTTGTAAGGATATTGTTAACTTCTGGATTCACCTCTATAAAAGCATTGTCATTCCCGTTGCCTCGAGGATTCCTATAAGGGTTCAGTCTTCTTATTCAAACCCCGAACGTAATGAAAGAGAATTTAATGCTCGTAACGTCCCCTATACCCTATTCTCCGTTGTATGCGCGGAGACATGTAGCCTTTGTTCTCAGGGCCCAGAACAATAACATTGGAGGGTAAAGATTATTTTTGAATTTCATAACTGGCGCCTTGGCATTCCCATTTCTACCTGCTCGACATTCCGGCTGCTGCCTTCGGAATGTCTTTCCTTTCTCCAAAGCGCCGAATGGCTGACCTTATAAAATAACTTCTTATCAGCACGGAATAGAAAGTATTTCATTACTTTAATCAAAACCGTATTCCCGGGATTCTCAGACTTTTGCCCTTTGAAGGTGGAAAGAAAACATCGAACCTCTATGTATGGATTGGGATATGAGGAGGAGGGTAGTCTTCAATAGCCGGTAAAATATAATAATAATGCTAATAAGAATAAAGGTCTTTATTGAAGCTCATTGAAGAGGATACACCTAAGGCGGCTGCAACGCAGTGAGTTTTAAGCCATTTACAAGGGCTCAGCTGCTTCGAAACTGACACTTCATTTTTCAATATTTTTGAATGAAATTCATAGAGTATGTTCAGAAGATAATTGCCCAGGGTGCTATAGGAGCACTTTTTGAAATTTTGTTTTTGCACAAGTTGTATGATCGGTTGAAGTGCGCACTTTTTCTGTTCAGCTTCGCGATTTTTTTAACAAGAATCTAGTGAAAAAAATGAAAAAGTGGCTCGATAGCACCCCGTGGGGTTTTGTTTTCAGCAGTCTATGAAAATTTAATTCAAAAATATCAAAAAATAAAGCGTCAATTTTGAAGCGCGCAAACCTCTACAAATCGTATTTTGGACGAATTTTGTCTACTGTTTCGTGCTGCCAACCCAAGCGTTGCGGCGCAATGTACGGACTAAGGCGCCTTACACACCAAAGCCGAGCCGACCTGGGCAGGGAAAAGCGATGCGATGCCGAGCCGATCGAAATCTGCCTGCGTTCGCACTGAACCCGATTCGCTCTCAGCAGGTTTTCTAGCCTAGTAGTGAGATGTGCTTCCACTCAGTTCAAGTTGGACCAGTTTCATTGTCAGTTGAAATTAGTCAGTGCAATAATGTCAGCCACTTTGATAATGATGTTACTAGATAGTTCCACACTTGATGATGAACGTGTGGGAGAAAGAAGGCGATACTGGACTCACAATATCAATAAAGATCACGAGACTAGCGGACAGTTCGTAACTCTATACCAGAAACTTCGAGAAGAAGAAGATAGGTTTTGGAGATATTTTAGAATGAGTACCGATACATTTGATTATATACTGGAATACATGTGTCCACAAATCCACAAAAGAAGCACGAACTACTGAAGAGCTATTCCATGTAAATAAGGGCTGATGGTGACTATTCGGTAAGTAACCAAGATTCTAAATATATTGTTAATAACCTTTACCTTCATTTTTTCTTTATCTACAAATGTAAAAGTGTGTTAAAACAACATAGTAATCCGTTTTCAAAAATTGTATTGATAAGAATTCAATACAATTCGGATATACTACAAATATATTTAATCTGTATTCTATCATCGGTGAAGCTTCGTATAAAATAAAGTTGAAGCGTCTCCTGGATTGTCAGTGTAGACCTTAGCAATACGTAGTCAGTATAATTTATAGATTTCAGACTGGCATTATTGGGTTTTTGGTTTTTATCAATTTCATCCATTACAATTTCCATAATTTTGTATCTCAGGGACATTTGTGAATTTATAGGGAGTCTGTTTATGGGGTCTTTGAGGCTCATCAGAAAATGATAAGTTGTATCTCTCTCGTCTTCTTTTTTGCCATTGATTTCATGATGTCCAGTTTTTCTTTTTCAATATGCAGCCTTTTCACCTTCTCCTGCTGCAGTGACTTTGCGTTTCCTACCTACACTTGAACTTAGGAAGGTAGAAGGTGCAGAAGATATAGAGACATCAGTTGGCGATTGTGGGCAACTCATCACCCCTCCATCAATAAACTCTGTTTCACGCTGGGACTCTTCCTGAGTGAAATACGAGGAGTCACTTTTCAAGTTTCCTTCTATACTTCTAAAAATTCGTAAAAATTCCATGTTTTTAAACTATTTTTATTGGGGCTTTCATGGTGAGCCTTGGGCGTCCCCAGATTTTGGTTTGCATTCTTTTTTTAATTCATTCCAAAAACTGTCCCTCAAATGTTTCCAGTTTTTCGAAAAATAATATTGTTGAAATTTGTATTTTTGTTCACAATAGACATTAAAAATTATATTAGAGTTGTTGAATAACACATTTGTTCTAATATAGAAATTGTTTTTAGGTATCTATCGACAGGATTATCCTAAGGAGCCATCAGTGATGCATTCAAAATTGGAACTTCAACGGTTCACTACATTATTGCAGAAGTTTGCACAGCAATTTGCTTCGGCGACCATCTACTCTTTACATGCAAAAGTGGAATTTCTCCAACTGCGTGTGGGCTATAGACGGGAAGCATATTCGTGTGAACTGCCCTGCTAATTCATGAAGTATGTACTATAATTATAAAGGGTAGGTACTATTCAATCGTTCTGCAAGCACTTGCTGATGCACAATACAAATTTACTGCGATAGAAGTTGGTGCATATGGTAAACAATCTGACGGTGGGATATTATTCATAAAGTACGCTTTATCGCCGTATAAAAAATGGTACTTTTAATATGCCAGCAGACACAGAATTGCCACAAACAAACATAAATTGTCCCTTTGTGGTTATCGGAGATGAAGCTTTCCATTTGACTCCTTGGCTTATGAGACCTTTCCCGAGGAGGGAATTGGATGACTTGGAACGAACATTCAATGAACGCTTGTCAAGAGCTAGAAGAGTTGTGGAATGTTCGTTTAGAATTTTGGCGTCCAAATGGAGGTTACTCCAAAAACCAATTGAAACAACCCCTGATTTAGCTGACAAAATTGTAAAGTGTATGTGCGTGTTGTTATCGACAAAGACGGAGTGGACGAATTGATGCTCCACGAGACAGACCAACAATCATCCAATTTCGGTGAAACTCCAACTGTAAACACACGTTCTACAAGACGTGCACTGACAACGCCGCTAGTATTTGCGCAATATTTTTTAAATCATCCATTGTAGATTTCATTTTGACGTAACTTTTCGATAAAACTTATATAAAAATATATATTAGGTACCTACATGTTGTGTTACATTCAGCAACTACTTTCTTCCCTATATTTATTGCAACATACCTAACCATGTCTGTACTTCTTATTGGACTGATCCCACAACGGAGGTGCTTCCTGAATAGAACTAATTAGTTCAACATCAATACTCATTTTTGTTTATTTTTTGAAATGAGAATATGTAGAAAAAACCACTTGACGTGTTTTTAACTTATTGGAACGCCGAACTAGACTGGAAGGACGCAGAATCCGCTTAGCCGAAAACGCTCGAATTGGCGGCACATAGCAGTGCTCAAATCGGCGCGGCCCGGCGTTCTATTTGACAGCTCCCATTCAAATCCTGCATATTTAGGGTTTAAGCGATTTCCGTCCGGCTTGGCTCGGCTCGGCTTTGGTGAGAAACCCCACTAAGAAAGAACGTATTCGGATAATTTGGTGGCCCTATTCCATATAATATCGCATAGATAAGTCGTTCTGCAAATAGGTACAAATATCGCGATCGCTGATACTCGTCGATTTTAAAGCCGTTTCACTTCCCACGCCATTAGCGAGGAAGTATTGTAATAGCGAAAAATTTCTAAAATGAGATGTTATGTTTTTTAAGTCATATGACATCCACATCACGAAAACTATATCACTCATCATCCACTTGGAAATTACCGCTCGAATTTTTGTGAAATTTCCACACGGGGTTACTAGTATGCCAAAGCTTTGTAGTTTTAGTCCAATGGCAAGGGTGCTATAGGCAAAAAAGAAAAGGTAACAATTGCTGAAACTCCATTTTTGTCATTACAGGGGTTCCTTATCATTGACATAACAAAATGTACTGCTTAAAATGTGGGGGTTGGAGAAAGGTGATTCTAAATGTTGCATCTTTGATATCAGTGAAACACGATCTATTATTAAGAAGCTTCTGATCCCAGTGATTACAGGAAATTTAAGTAACGAAATCCGACGAATAATGTGCTCACGATTTGAAAAAATCGGTACCCGCTCTTTAGGTTTGACACCAAGAGCCAACAGATCTATCTGCAACTGCCGACAGTAGGGAAGGATGAATTCGGATATCACTCCAGTCAAGTATAGGGGAATTTAGCGTGGAACTTTAAAATTAAAATATGTTTTTGAGAGCGATAATTTGGTAGATTTGATACCTGCATTTTCATTTGAATTTCACGAGCCGTGAAATGTACCCATTTCGCCGTTACGTTCAATTTTTGTTCTGCAGTTTGTGATGTTTTTCTGGATATAAGCAGGACATAATTGTTTTACAAAATTTTGTCTTACTATTGAATGTGTGCTCAACTTCTTAATATTTTAAAAAGATCCTAGTGGATAAAATCGAAAAAGTGGATCGTTAGCACCCTGTGGACTTTGTTTTTAGCACGCTGCAAGAGTTTCATTTGGAAATAATAAAAAATGAAACGTAAGCTGTGAAGTGCAAATCGGTTTTTGGGCGAAATTCGTCTACTGTTTCGTCCTGCCAGTCCAAGAGACGCGACGGTGCGTTCCGACTAAGAAAAAATGTATTCAAATAATTTGATATCTCTAGTAAAATAAATTCAAGAACTCAAATTCATGCCAATAAACACAATTATGTTTACAAGGGTTATGTGGTACATGGTAACAGTTGCACGAGGGCCATAAAAATATTTTATGCCGTCAAAATAAGAGTAAAGGGTTAGGTAGTTTTTGCAAAGCAATAAACAGGTAGGCTTATGCCTCGATTAAGTACATTTTTTGTCTACTGTATTAGGTAGATGGAGTCGATGCTGCCAGAAATGGATTTGTGCGATCAATAAACGAACCACAAGATTGAACTGCCGTGTCCAGTGATTTTTGTATTGCCTTTTTTATTGCCTTACTAGAAAACTCTGTTGGGTATATGATGGAGTTTACTAGAACTTTACAGCTTGTTGTCTGCTTTCTTCTACAAAATTCACCAAATCGAGACGCTGTCAACCTTATCCTCCGATGAAGGCGACACAAAGTACAGTCCTGTGATTTGGCGACTTGTTCGATCTACAAAATCTCGTCGTCACTTTTTCTAATTTTGCCTAAAAATTCTTGCTTAGCAACCTCCAAATCAATGTCGTTCATGTCAGGTTTTTGACGGAATTCGCCATAAAACTATTCATTTTCTTTGGAATTGCCATCCGAATTGTTAGTTATTTTTATATCAGCTTTTTTTTGGCCTGAGTTTCTTTTCAAGATTATTTGAGTCTTTGTTCCATCTTAGCGATAAGCGAGGTTGGACTAAGCTTAGAACGCAAATGTATTTCGACCACATAGACAGGCAGCTGGGTATTGTGGCTCACTACAGCTGCAGCACACCTTCCATGGTATGACCTCATCTTGCGATAATTTATCCGTTGACTCCCCAATGTATTTTGCGATTATAGAGTTGAACTGCTCCACCACACTATTGTTGAGCTCATCATGAATTAAACTCACTGCATTCGTAATTAGAATGGTCGCATATGACCTTTTATTGTCCATTATCAACCTTGATAAAAAAAAGACACTCAAGAACAATTACACAAACAAGAGTACAGCACAACAATTCAACAACACAATATCGACGAACAGTAACAAGGGGAGAAAAATAGTAAATGATCACTTGCTGAGTACCAGAATAGGAAACGATTTACAGGCTAGATCGCTAATCGAAATCCAACTCTGTTATTATAAAAATTTACCTTGGTATGCACCCGCAGTCATCATTTCCTCTTTTAAAGTAGCGCCGACGACCGTCTAGGGCCAGCCCACCCTCGTTTCCTTTTCACCCCCCATTACCTCGGCAGATGGTGCTCGTAATTGTCGGAGCCCCGTTAAACTTGAACAAGAAACAAAAACAAATTGGATACATACAGATAGAAAAAGTATAGGAAACAAACAAGGATGTCAAGGAAGACATTATAAATATATAAAAAACAGTATGTGTAGAAGATAGTAAAAACAAGAATAATTATAATAAAATATCGATCCACATACCATGAATTAATAATATTACAAGGCACTGTCCGTCTAAAGAAGAAAACACTCACATAAGTACAATGGAGAAAGCTAGATGGCCTCCAGCAGCTGATTTTTTATGAGTTTCTCTAAAGTATTATGTGCAGGCATTTTAAAATGAATATTCAATCTTAGAGTTCTAGAAACAAAATCTCCACAGGAATTAATCTGTTAGGAGGATAGGCGGATCTGTTACTTAATAGAACCTTATACGAGAGAATATTTACAAGATAAATGCTCATCGGCTTTCAACCAGATGAGTTCCCTGATTTTATCTGTTGTGTGACTAAACTTACGCAGACCAAAGATAAACCTGCAGCAGCTGTTTTGTATTTTCTGGAGCAGGCATGGATAATAGAGGAAGAGGGATTATGAAGTATCAGACAACACAAAAGACTTTTAGCGCGCTTTTTGCGCGCTTAAAATTTGAAATGTAATAATTTGAATAAAGGAGACTTAACCATATATATGTGAGTCTCGACAAATAAGAAATATGTTGATCAAATTTCATATTAACGTCGAGGGTTTCACCAAGGTTCTTGGAGTAATCAACGGAGGGGATTAGAATTTCATCCAGAGCAATACCAATCCTCTCCTTCATGATAGGGTAAGAGTTCTTCGGACCAAAAAAACTAGCCGTGGTCTTGTTAGGAATAATATTCAAACTGTTTATTGCAATAATCAAATATGTTAACCAAGCTAAAATTATCTTTGAATGATTCACCATCAGCCTTTGACGGATCGCGACTGAACACTACCTGAGCGACAACTGCATACGTTCGATAGTTTAATGGACTAAACTATCCTGCAAGTTAATTGTATAGGTATATCAGATAAAGTAAGGGTCCTAACACAAAACCTAGAGGGATACCTGAAGGAACTGGCTTAGTGGTTGATTTG